GGCGAAAGGAATTGAAGGCTAAAAGAGGGAGGCGAAGGGAACGAGACGTGGGACAGACAAACGGAGAGAGAGAGAGGCAGACAGAGAGACAGAGAGACAAAACACGAAGAAGAAAAAGAAATTTAAAAATTCATAGCTTATTAGAGAAAATAATTGGATAATTTAAGAACATTGAAACAAAAAAAACACATGAATGTATATAATAACAAGTTTTAAATAACAATCTACTACTGGAACAAATTCCTATCTACAAACAAAAGAGCATCAAGCAAGACAAACATGAGTGAGCTGACCCCTTAATGTACGCAGTAAAAGATTATCATTATAAGCGGTCCTGTCATTAGAAGTGTCGTCAACAAAGACCTTGCTCTTACTCCAAAGACTATTGTTCCCAAGTAAGACTTAAGTGTTGCAATGAAGTCTCGCCCTAAAGGATAATTCAACGACAAGGACTCATTAAGAAAGGATGGCCGCAGCGGTAACGGACAAATGGCCCTTGGAAATCCCTTTAAGGCAAGATGCTTTCTAGGATTTGCGTGTAAGGCATTGCGTCTTAGGATTTATGTCTGGGGATTTGCATCTGAGGATCTACGTCTGGGGATTAACTTGCGAGCTAAGATTTACATCTGAGGATTTACGTCCGAGAAATTACGTCTTATAATCGACGTGGACGAAATTTCGCCAGAGGATTTACGTTGGGCCTGAGGAAGTGGCATTCAAAGGGCTGGAGGGTTCACTCCGCCCACCCGCCCTCAGCCCACTCCTCGCATATTTCACACTTCTGCAACTCATCCTGCGTCTTTTGATTGTGGTACACCCACCTTCGCCTGCAGGAGCATTGTGTAGAGTTATTGTGCGAATGTGTGTGTGTGTGTGTGTATCGGGTGGGGGGGGGTGTATATGCAGGGGGTGTATGTTCGTAATAATAGTAATAATCGTAATTTAGGGTTTACTGTGACAGACTCTTGTGACTTCACTCAAATTGTGGCTGTTTGTTGTGTTTTGAACAACCCCCTGTGTATAGGAAATGGCCGGGGTTACCTTCCACTGGCGGTGCGGGGAACTGAACGTGGGTCAGCAAGATTGCTAGACGAGAGCGCTCCCGCTGCATCACACACAACACACTATATATGTGTGTGTGTGTGTGACCTCTAATTGCATGTCTTGAGATTGCGTGCACGCGTTGACAACTTTACGAGAAATACTGAACCAAAATTCAAGCCTTAATAAAGTCGCTTACACTGAATGGAGTCGGTTTAAGAATGTCCATGTAATTGGAGACAGACGTCACTTATGAGTCTAAAACCCCGAGAGAGCGAGTGTAAGAGTTTGTAAGGAGGGAAGTGGGCGGGGCAAAGATCACAGCCTTACACATGAGCGGAACGAGAGGGAAACCGCCCCAAAACGCCTCTTGCCAAGGCCTTCCATTTCGGGGATTAAAAAAATAGTTTGCGAAGCTGATAGACTTCGGAACGAGAGGGAAACCGCCCCAAAACGCCTCTTGCGAAGCTGATAGACTTCTTATTCCATTTTTTTATTCTCTTTTGGGCTTTGTCTCTTGCAAGCGTGACTTTCATTTCCTTTATTTTTTGTTCTGTTATTTACGCGTACGATTTTCCTGGTCTCGGCGAATGGTTTTTGTCGAGGGGTTATTTTGTTATGACGTTTTGTAAACAACCCTTTTTTTCTCTTCCTTTATGAGGATAAAAACAGTGATGATGGATGAGGAGAGACGAAAGACGGAGGGTAGACGGAATGAAGGAGGATAGACGGAAGGACGGGAAATAAGAAATAGGGGGATAAGCGACAATCGGGAACAACCTTCGATCACGTCACGACCTTTCCGAGTTGATAGGACATGGGCAAAAAAGGCAAAGAGGCGAGAACACAGCATTATTATAATGTTGCCTCGTCACTCTTAGCAACAGCATCTAGCCTTTTTTTTCTGCATAGATATCTGTTGTTTTGCTATGTGTGGCTCTCAGGGCTAGCCATGGGAATGTGTATGCGCTGGTATGTGTGTGTATGTGTTTCTGGTGAGTTTATTTTCTTGTGTGTGCGTGTGTGAATGGGGGAATGAGTAAGAGATACACAGATTGGAAGAGAGAGAGGGTGTATGTATATAGATATGCATATATAAATGTGTGTGCGTGTGTGTGTGTGTGTGGACAAAGGAATGTGTGTTAGCGTGTTTGTTTGTATAGAACCTCCGTAGCCTTTATCTTGGTAACAAAGTCCCAACCGCAAATAGACTTCAAGATGCCAATAGAGGAACTCGCAGGACTTCACCAACTGCGCTGCCTTCCCGCTCCAAGGCTACAGCTCGCCTCTGGGTGTTTGAACTCTCGGGCCGGCGGAACGAGGCCCCCTGCAAGTCACCGCGAGGCAAGGTCACTGCGGAGCCCGGGGGGAGGCTGGCAGGGAGGTGGGTGGGTGAAGGAGCGCCGAAGGGAGGCTCGGGTAAAGAGGTTGGGGGGGAGGGGCTCGGCGGAGGCTGACGGGCAAAGAGGGGGAGGAAGAAGGAAGGGAGATTGATGGAGGGAGAAGGGCAGGGAAAGGAAGAGGGGAGAGAGAGAAGGGCAGGGAGAGGAAGAGGAGAGAGAGAGAGAAGGGCAGGAGAGGAGAGGAGAGAGAGAGAAAGCAGGGAGAGAAAGGGAAGAGAGGGAGAAGGGCAGGGAGAGGAAGAGGAGAGAGAGAGAGAGAGAAGAGGTGGGGGAGGATTCTGATATGATCTGATAAATTTGAGTAACCAAACAGTGTACATAAAGGGGTACGGATAGAACTAGAAGAGCGAGATAGAGAGAGAGAGAGAGAGAAGAGAGGGGGTCAGACAGACAAGAGAGAAAAAGCGACAAAAAAGTATAGGAAGAAAGATGGAGATTATTATGTAGCTCAAGGTTCAGGCAGTGTTTGTGTTTTTAAGAAGAGGAACTTGTTGCTTTAAAGAAAACGTGACACAAGTATTAAGACGAAGTTCGGGCGGAAGGACACAGGATGTTGGTGTGTGTGTGTGTTGTGTGTGTGTGTGTGTGTGTGTGTGTGTGTGTGTGTGTGTGTGTGTGTGTGTGTGTGTGTGTGTGTGTGTGTGTGTGTGTGTGTGTGTGTGTGTGTGTGTGTGTGTGTGTGAGAGAGAGAGAGAGAAGAGAAAGAGTGTTTATCCGCATGTTTCTTTTATATTTGCATATGCAACAGCTTACCTCTGCATGTATCTGCATGAGGTTATCTTGTGTGCAATGTTCTATAAATATTCGCCACATTCTTCTCCACAATAGCTTCCGGTAAGTAAGCGCTTTGACGTCAGCCTCCGCGACAAAGGATCGAGCCGGCAGAGGTCATTACGCTAAATAAACGCGGCAACTTTTATGCTCCGCGTGACTTTTGCTTTTGCAAAAAAAATGGAGAAGGGAGAAGGAAGATTCGAGATTTTTTTCCCCAGATATTTCACATTTCAGTAAGATTCGTACCGCGATAACATTTCTAAAGCAAGTAACAGAACACACGCATGCACCGACGGGACGCGCGCGCACACACAACACACACACACACACACACACACACACACACACACACACACACACACACACACACAACACACACACACACACACACACACACACACACACACACACACACACACACACACACACACACACACTCACACCACACACTCACACTCTCACACAACTCATTCACACAAAACAACAAACAAACAAACAAAAATGAAACACAAAGGCACGCACGAACTCGCCCTGAAACCTACACGCAGCAGAGCCTGTTGGAGTTCTTGCCTGTCCACATGTCACAGTCATACGGAACAGCTGAATGCCAAGGCTTGCGTAAGGTTTATTCATTCATTCCGATATAAATGACATGCCCTCAGCGTTAAGTTACGTCGGTCCGGGAGAAAGGCCTTGGCTCTCGATATTCTCCTGTTTCTACGATTAAACGCATTTCGTTCGATCGCGGAAAGATAGAGGAGGAGAGGAATAAGTAAAGGAATAAACAGATAAATGAATGAAAAGATTAATTATAATATTGTGATTATTATCGATGTCATTATCATTATTATTACCGGTCTAATTTTCGTAGTTGTCATCGTCCTCATTATTTTTATAAGCATGATCTTTACTACTACTGTTATTATCACCATTGAAAGGAAACGACCAAAATAAAACAAAGGCTAAAGCATCTCGGAGGGGAAGGGGGGGGGAGGGGGCGCACGTACACCCAAGGCACCACACAGGACGCGAAGGCCAACCGCAAGTGGGTGACATTGCCCTCAACTTCCCTTCGAGCGCACAAACAGCATAAGCACACGGGCGCGAGTAAACAGGCGACTCCATCAGATTTCCGGCCCGAACGCCAGGATGAATCAGCCCTTCCTAGCAACATGGGACGTGGGAAAGAGGGCGCGAGGTTCTGCTGCGAGGGGGCTGCTGGGCGGGGACCTCGGCGTCGGGGGGAACCTTTTGGGAAGAAGGGGGGTTCTCGAAGGGATTCTTTGGAAGGTGTTTATTTTTTTCTTCTTCTCGAGGTTAGGAATGGCCTTTGGATTGTGAGAAGGAAGGACGTGCGTTGAGTTTCGGGAGAAGTTAAGACGTTTCTGGGAAGTTGGAAATGACGGGTTGTCACGGGGAGGAAATTTATGCGGCGCTGTGGATGCGGAGCTCGTTTCGCGGTCCGAAAAGGCCTTTGGGAAAGAAGTTTCTGAAAGGGATGCAGAAGCGACGACGAAGAAGCAATCTTCAAATGAGAGACTGAAGAATATTTTCTCTTAAGATTTTTTTTTTTCTGATGGAAAAATATTTGTGTGTAAGCCGGATTATCGCCAAGCGGAATGGAACAATAACATCGGATGATTTTACAGCGGGAATATTTTCTCGTTAATGAGGCGAGCGTAATGAGGTGCCTTTCGTCGCCCCCGAAGCTGCAACCACTTTTTGTCATCATAACCTCAGTAGGACTCGCCCGGGGGGGGGGAGAGGGACTTCGGCTGTGTATTTCACAAGAGGTACACAACATTATCGGCAAATTGTATGTTTGTCAGAAGAGGTGTTTATGTGTTCATTGTATTTTTCTCTTTTTGGGAATAAAAAATCAGTAACAATACACGAAAGAAGAAAAAATAATTTCCGCGTTTGGAAGGAAGTTTGGTTCTTAATGCGCTCTAACATAAGGGTGAAATCTGGTAATTGCTCTGTCATGCTGATGCCCTTGGAGCCCTGAGGCCAGTACACTCAACTCTTCAGTGAATGACTTCTTGGCATATCATTAATTCATCGAGAAAACAAAAAAACAACAGATAAGGTCTAGCGGGTCTTTTAAACATCCCTTAGATTATCATTTTATCTGCGTCGGTTTAGTAGCCGTGCTTGCGCTTCTAAAAGCACCCGACTGCGTAATTGTTCATGTTCGTGTGTATGTGTGTGTGTGTGTGTGTGTAATGTCCTAAATGTCTGTATGCTCGACGCGGTGAGAATTATCATGCCTCCGCCACCTTGGGAATCCGTGCGTATCGTAGGCACTGTGATATGTTATCGTAACGAGTCTCACCCAGCTGCAGCGAGCACGGAAATCACCCGAAACGATGTCCGTGGCGAGAACAGCCTCCTACGACCCTCCTACGACCTTCCGTCATCCGCGCTCTCCCACGACCTCGTCCCACTGTCCCCAAAAGCACGGTCGTGTTTCTTTCTGCTTCGGATCTGCCTTCAGCCGCCCCCATGCTCAGCCGGCCTCCGTTGCATGGGGCCGGGATGGACAGCGGGTGCTTGGTTTCGTGTTCATGTTGATAACACGCATGTGCAGTTCTTACCAAGTACACTTACTTGCCGCTCGCAAACTTACACATGCACACACACACGCACACACATGCCTTGCTCTCTCATGCGTATCAATACCTCGCTGTTTTTCTACGTATTGGGAAAGCTTTCAAGTTACATTGTTAATACTTTTTCGATGACTTCTAGATGAATGCACTTTCTCTTCTCCTTTCTGAGTATTTCAAGTCATTTTTTTTAACAGGAAATACAAGCTATCAATCCGACCCTAGTTTTGCATTTTTATGAGGCGTTATGAGGTAATTGTGGCCAGATTATGATGCACGTTCACGCTTCACCTCCTTTCCCACTCTTCGACCCGGCGCCGCGAAACCGTTCGACGTCGACGAGGCAACCAAATAAAAGAATAAAAAAGAAATGAAAATAAAAGATTAACGTGAAAATCTGCCGAGTCATCAGCCCAGGGGTATTTATTCAACACGGGGACCTGGGCCGATTTTTTTTTTTTTTTTAAGGGAGGAGTGGAGGGGTGGATGTGTGAGAATGTGTGTTTCTCGTGGGGTTTGGGAGTTCGTGGCTCGAGATGCTCAAAATATCAAAGGATATCAGAGGATTTCCGGACGTCGGGCGGGCTTGCATATCGTGTCTCTTCGGGATGTCGTCCTCGTCAGAAAAAAAAAACACATTTATGACGAAAAACTTATCAATGCGTAGATAAAACGGTAAAAAAAGAGTATATCCTAACCAGAGCCTAATGCATATACTCCCCGAAATCCTCACAACTGAGAAGTTCACAAAGGAAAATACGATCATCAAAACGTAAAATTTGGCCAAACGAATTCCCGAAAGAAGCCCCCGTCTCACCTGCCAGGGACGCCACGAGCACGATCCTGCCGCTGGACTTCCTGAGCAGCGGCAGGAAGGTCTTGGTGACGCGGATGGGGCCCAGGGAGTTGACTTCGTAGACGCGGCGGTACTCGGCGATGGGGCACCACTCGATCTCCGTGAAGGCCGCGATGCCGGCGTTGTTCACGACGGCCCACAGGTCTGCGGGAGGCGAAGGTCATGGGTGAAGAGGGATGGGCGGGATGGTGGCTGAATTTGTGTAGGGTGTGTGTGTGTGTGTGTGTGTGTGTGTGTGTGTGTGTGTGTGTGTGCGTGTGTGCGTGTGTGCGTGCGTGCGTGCGTGTGTGTGTGTGTGTATGTGCGTGTGCGTGTGTGTTTATGTGTGTGTGTAGAGGGAGGGATATTTTACGGTTTACAATAATATCATCACAATCTCCCCCCAAAACCCCCTATTCCCCTCTTCCTTCTTCCAGAGCCCCCCCTCCCTCCTCCAATAGCACCCCCTCCCCCCCGCCATCATCTCCCGCTCCTCACCTAGACTCCCGAGGTCGTCCTCGATGAACTTGTAGGCGGCTCGCACCTCGTCCTCCTTCGTGACGTCGAGGCTCACCACCGTCAGCTTCGACGAGGTCTCGAGTTTGAGCGAGGTGGCGCCGGTGCCGTCGGGCTGGAGGCACCCGGCGTACACCTGGAGAAAGGGAGAGAAGGAGGAAAATTAATAATGAGGACAGCGGGACGCGGCAGAGGACGGGGAAGGCAACGCGTCCAGTACGGGTGAAGAGAGAGAAAGAGAGAGAGAGAGCGCGAGAAGGGGAGAGAGCGAGAGGGAGGGAAAGAGAGAGAGAGAGAGAGAGAACATGTTTACACAGCCGGTTCTGCGAAGTCTAGGAAACCGCGCGCCAATTCCCGAAATTTCTCCGCGATTAGAATGCCGAGTTGGGAATCGAGACAAGAGTGTAAATAATAACAATGATAATGAGAATACAGCTATATCAGTGCTACTAATTATAGCAATAATAACTAATTAACTATGAAAATGATAATAAGAATGGCAATGCTACTGATAATGTAAATGATAATAAAAATAATAATTATTATTATTATTATCATTATAATGTTAACCTGCCTCGAAATCAACAGACAAACGAATGGATAAGTGAACGAAGAGGAAAACGCAACCGTATTTTAGCGACTCACCTTAAAGCCCAGTTTATCGAGGCTTATTGCCAGCAGCCTCCCGAAGCCGGAGTCACAGCCTGTGGAGAGAAGGGAAATCGACTGTAACATCATAAAACACGTGGGAAAAAAAGGCTCTGATTCTACTTCGATGATTTGGTTATCTGTTGAACCCTCTTGAAATTACGCTATGAACGATATATAAAGAGAGAATGGAATAAATCAAGACACTTTTGCCAATGGTGTGCATATAAACATACTGAAGAAAATTAAAAACATACAGCAACACGGGTCAAACCTTCACAAACTAAACTCGATTCCAAAACGTCATTCAAGAGATTACAAAAGACACAGGTAAAGGGAAAACAAAGAAGCTGTTTGTGTTTATCCGTGACGTACTTCCTATAGGCTCTCCCGACCGTCCCTTCTCTCTGGGAAGATTTTATTTTGGAGAGGAAACGAAACATGACGCAAAGATCTTCGTCCTGACAGGATACAACAAGGTGACCGGAACGAAAAGTCATTGAAGTCATTTCCAAGTTGTTGTTGTTGTTGTTTTTTAAGGATGGTGGAGGTGTGTATCCTTCTTTGTCACGTAAACATACATGGCGAGTATATGTGGTGTTTGTGTTGTTGTTTGTATTTTTTTGAGTAAGATTGGTAATTGAATGTACCTGTGTTTGCTGCGTTAGGTTACTGGGGTATGATCCTAAGATAGTAAATGTGATTGTGAGGCAATACCATAGAAATCGGATTGTAAACCAAATGGAGTAATTAATATATTTAAAGAACATAAAAGAGAACAAACGTGGTCAAAACAATCATACTATAACGCTTAATCATTATGAAATTTTCTGTATTCAAATCAAGTGGCTAATTAGACATTTAGAGAGAGTTAAAGGAGAGACACCAAAATGGCAACATCTATGACGTCACATCCTCAAGTACCCCCCTGATGATAAGGCAGGTTGGGACAGAGATAAATGGGTCAAATTATTTTTACGTGGCGCTTCGAATATGTAAATGAGACGTTATATAAGCAAGATTGATATTCTGTAATTGCAATCTTACAATGCGTTGCAGAGTTGTCAGTTCATAATTCATACCCGAGTACTTATGGGATTGAAGACTGACCTTCCGTTTATGTTAATGCTTGTTGCAATAGCTAACGAGTTGATAGAATAAATGCATGTGTCAAGACGAGAACTCAGAGAGATACTGGACAAGGAAAAATATGTGTTGCAGATTTCAGTACAAGTCTACTTTCAAGTATCTCAATGTTGCTCTTACGTATGTGTATAAGAACTTGAACAATCACTCCTCGGCACTTGAGGCAATTAATATAACAATTAAGCCGAGAGCCAGTCAATAATCTACGGACCTAAAAATAACACCAAGCCTTTACTATGCAATATTTTTAAAGAAATATCCATTCATGTATTGCCTTAGAGATCAACAGCTCAACATTAGCGCGAATGGCAAACGTTGCAGGGTGATTGCCCAGGTTTAGGTAGGGGGGGGGTGAGGAGGGGGTAGCGGGTAAGAAGGAAAGATTTTGCTCTGACCTGAGGGTGTTATTAGGGGGGGGGGGGGGGGGGGTAAACTTGTATGTGTGTTTGTATGGTACGTGTATTCGTGTATGATTTGTCTATGGTCTGTGTGTGAGTGTGTGTGTGTGTGTGTGTGTGTGTGTGTGAGCAGTGAATGTGTGTGTGTATGTGTGTTTTGTGTGTATGCATGTGTGTGTGGTGTGTGTGTGTGTAAGCGAGCGAGTGAGTATGTGTGTGGTGTGTGAGGGGGGGGGGTATGCATGTATGTGTCCGTGCGTGTACTTATGTGTACTTAGGGGTGTGTTTCAAAAAATACTGCGAAAATGCGCGACATCCCAAGACGTCCAAATTCGCCTTCACTTCGCACGTTCTGCCTGTGCGTGTTTTCTCTTCTTCTTCTGCTTCTCCTATTTTCTTTCTTTTTGTTCCTCGCCTCCTCTTTCTGTCTCTCTACGCCCTTCCGTGTTTTCTACTTCCTAGCATCGCCAACACTCCCTCTGCACTCCGCCCTGAAGTCAAATGCTGATGCCCTTGGGTACGGGACGGAGGGGGGGGGGGGGGTAGGCAGAGGGCAAACACTGGATCGATCCTTCACTCTCGGGGCATGAGATAAAATGGAGGGCGTGGGAAGGAGGAAGAGGAGGAGAGAATAGAAGAAGAAGAAGTGGAGGAGGACGAAGGAATAAAAGAGAAGAAAAAAGGGACATGAGATATTGAAAAAATAGAGGGCATGGGAAGGAGGAAGAGGAGGAGAGAATAGAAGAAGAAGAGGAGGAAGATGAAGGAGTAAAAGAGAAAAGAAGGGGTATGAAAGGAGGAAAAGGAAGTGGGAGAAGAGGAGAAGGTGAGAGGTGGCACAGGGGAGGATAAGGAAGAAGGAAGTAGAAGAGATGGAAGGAAGCAGAGAGACAGAAAGAGGAGGCAAGGAAGTAGATAAATAATAAAGGAGAAGATGAGAGAAGAGAAAAACACAGAAAACGGAGGAAGACATAAAGGAATAGAGGAGAAAGAGGAAGAGGAGGATGCAGCAGAGGCGAGACTAGGAAGGGGAAGGGGGGAGAGAGAGGTGGACGTGGGAGTAACGAAGCGAATGAAGGTATAATTGGAGTGGTAATGACGGAAATGAGGATTGCAAGCCCTGTTGGTGCGGGGCGGAGCAGACGTCGGTGGGTTTATGGGCGCGCTTGGTAATGAATTCGTACACACAGTCGTACGTACACCGACGGGCATACACACATGGACACACACACGTATGTCCGCAGTCGGATCTCCACACACAGCATACGCATGTACACGATATTGCACCTACACATACACACGCATGTGGCCTCGGATACCAAGAGTCGCACCCATATATGCATGTATGTCCGCAATCACGAACACGCACGCACACACGCACACACACACACACACACACACACACACACACACACACACACACACACACACACACACACACACACACACACACACACACACACACACACACACACACACACGTACGCACACGCAAGCACGCACGCACATACACATGCATACACAGGCAGATAAATGCACAGACAAAGTGAGGAAGGTGAAAAGTGCGCCATAACTCCTCCCACCGTCCTCCGCTCGAGAGACGATATTCGGGACTTCCTTTTTTCACAAGAAATGATTCCTTCTCCTTATTCCCTTCGCTGCAAATAAGATTCACGAAAATACATTAAAGAGGATGACTTGTGGCTTCGTCCGGCAGGAGGAGGAGGAGGAGGACCTCGCCCGAGCATTTCCTGACGGCGGAGGAGGGCGTCAATTTAGCGCGTCTCGTAAAGCACGGGGAAATGGCCGCTAATAACTAACCGTCGGGATGGCTGTCAATTCAGTGTGACTTTCCTCCCTCTTGTATTTTTTTTGGGGGGGGGGGGGGCGGTTATCAGAATCTCGGTTTGAAGGGTTTTTTCCCGAAGTAACTCTCCTGAAGGAATTCCTCCGGAGTATATCACCTGAAGTGTCTCTTCTGTCTTATGAAGTGACTCTCCTGAAGGAATTTCTCCGAAGTATATCTCCTGAAGTCACGCTTCTGAAGCGAGTCCAATGATGTGACTCTCCTGAAAGAATTCCACTTGTCATTTTCCTAAAGGACCTCTCCGTTATCCCCTCCTGCTGTTCCTTATGACGCAACGATGACGTCGAACTTCAGGCTGCTGATATCTCATTTCAGTGACGTCAGATTCTCGAGTTTTACGTTTCAGAGGACCAGTGACAAACGCAGAAGCCAAAGGTCATTTTTAGTTAAGATATGTCATATCCTATTTGGTATCGTAAGTGGGTACATATTTGTGGTTCGTTAATTACTCCTATTGCAACATATCAAATGATCTCAAGGCTTCTTTTTTGACATTGAGTAATCTCTGTTATCTTAGTTATCACCAAGGGGCTGACGGGGACCATTTCGAGGTATTCAGAGAGAGAGAAAAGTTATTGTCCGCCACTAAACAACAGCGACAAAATCGCCTCTACAGTTGGATAAACATGTCTGAGAGAAAGTTTTCATAAGCCTAGAGATAGGAGGTCTCCGCCTCTGGCTGAGGTTACCTGGCCCTTCTACCTGCCCCTCTCGAGAGAAATGATCAGGAAGTGTCCCTGGATGCCCGTCCAGCTATCCGGGCTGCCCTTCCTCCTGGCCCAACGAAGGACACTCGAAGGGCATCCCACGAGATAACAAAGCGACTTGGCTTCAGTGCGGAGAATGTTAGCTGAGGCTCCTTTTCCGAAACTCTCATGTCTGTCCCGTTGATGGAGTTCTTTGTATTTCTCTGTCAGGGTTGTCGTTCCTCCTAACCGAGCCAAGGGCAGTCAGAGGGCGTTCAATAGTATAACGCTACACAGCTTCACTGCGTTAAACATTCGGTGAGGCTTCCTCTTCGACGTTCAGCTGTAACAAGCACCTCCTTGCCGTTGCGTCTATGCAAGACTGAACTTCAGTAATGTGAGACCGTTTCTGAAGCGCACCTGCCTATCCCGCCGATGCCGTTCCCCTACGCTTCCCCTCTCCGGGCCGCCGTTCCCCCTGCCCAGGCGGAGGAAGACAAAGGGTAGTACACAGGGTAACAAATCGAGGCTCCCGCTCCGGAACTCACCTGTGATGAGCACCGCCTTGCCGTTGCCGTCGATGTTCTTCCTCGGCATGGCGTTCATCGCCGCCTTCATCGCCCAGTCGCCGATGTGGGCGGCCATAAGACCCAGGGCGAGCCACGAGACCGCCCACGACCGCTGCGAAACGATGACGAGCGCCACCCACGCCAGGAGCCACGCGGCCACCATGTGGTACCAGGTCATGCCCATGCTGAAGGAGGCTTAGGATTAGGAACAGGGAGGGGTATTCTCGGGTATCTGGAGGGCCTCCTGGACGCGTCGTAGGACGAGACGACGAAGGGCCTGCTCGGCGGCGGCGGCGGCGAGGACGAAGCGGCGTCTCCGGGAGAAGGTCTTGCTACTCGCGCATCACAGCGACCGCGAGCATCAGGCTGGGAACAGAAGAGAGGGAAGATTAACATCAAAACAGAATTACCTGCGTTGCTAAACGAATATGAATAAATAGGTGACTATGAATATAATGCTTGTTTTTATGGGCCTTCATTTGTTCCTTACTCATCTTGTGAATCAGCAGTTTCGAATCCTGTATCCGAAACATTGACTCGTAATGACTCGTGTCTCGCATAAAGGAATCGAAACTCGCGGTTGGTTAGTGAACGCGCACACATACACACACAAACAAGGACGTCGATACACCAACACACGCACACATACGCGCGCTCTTCCTCACACAAAGGAACCCCACGAATAAGGGTCACTCTTTAATTCACTCTTCATTGCTCTCTGTCCTTCGCGTGCGCCCAAACGCCGCTCTCGGGAGGACTTCTGCGAATAATTTCCCGAGGAGGGACGCGAAAGACGGAATGCCAAGGAGTTTGTTTGGTTTTTACTGTTGTGAGGGTGGGAGGAAAAGCATTTTTTCTGTCGGGATTCTAGTTTCTGTTTGTCTCTCTCTTCCTCTCTCTTCTCTCTTTCGCTTCAACATCACTCTTCTATATCTGTCGATATATATATATATATATTATATATATATATATATATATATATATATATAATACATATATGTATATATATACATATATATATATATAAATCTATCTGTCAATCTATCCATCCATCCATCCATCCATCCATCCATCCATCCATCCATCCATCCATCCATCCATCCATCCATCACCCATCCACTCATCCACCCACCCCCCCACCCATCCCCCTCATCCTATACGGAAAAAAGTAACACAAACAACCAACGAGTAAAAAAGAACAAGTAACGAGTCTGGCTTGATGCGGAATTCCCTTCCTCCTCGCCAATAAAATTTGCATACTAATTCGGCCGGATAAACGAAGCGCATCTCGGAAGCGGTTTATGGAGCGAGAAAGCACTCTGGGACGTCTACGGTTTCCTTCAAGAAATTTGCATAATCCGATTGTTGTTGGAAAGGAGAGGAGTTGGGGGATTTGAGTCTTGGAAGAGGGAGTTATTTGTGGGAAGCAATGCGTTAGATTAATGGTAGGATGAAGGAAAGAATTCCGTAATTTAATAATAATGAAAACGATCGACGAATGTGTTATTTTGTTAAAAATAACATATGCATATATATATATATGTGTGTGTGTGTACTTAAAGGAATGAATTCGGATATAGGTACGAAAAAAAAATCTTAGAAATAAGAAAAAGTAACGAAAATACGCCAGCGTTCGCCATAAAAGTACGTTCATGAAAGCGTTATCACAGATGAGGCAACACGAGAAGCAATGAATACGAGAATAAGCACAATAAAGCGAGACTCCTAATGCCTTAGCTATCTAGACGTAAGACCGACAATATAACACGTAACCCATTCTTGGCGTTATCTCCCTCTCTATCTCTATAACATTTTTATCGCCGACAAGTGCGTAGTTGGTCGACTGTTATCAGTAGAGGCATATCCGCTTATCTTATCGTTTTTTTTTTTTTTTTTTTGTCCTTCTCCTTATCAGGATTTACCTGTGTATGGCAACGTCCTTGCTCGTGAATGTACCAGGCGGGGTTCGGGCGGCCGCGCCGATATCAGCAGGAAGTTCAGATCAGCCCCATTAGGTGTCGCTTCCATGTCTGCGCTCTCTCTCTCTCTCTCTCTCTCTCTCTCTCTCTCTCTCTCTCTCTCTCTCTCTCTCTCTCTCTCTCTCTCTCTCTCTCTCTCTCTCTCATCTCTCTCTCTCATCTCTCTCTCTTCTCTTCTAGTCTCTCTCTCTCTCTCTCCTCTCTCTCTCTCTCTCTCTCTCTCTCTCTCTCTCTCTCTCTCTCTCTCTCTCTCTCTCCATCCTCCTCCTCACCCTCGCTCTCACCCTCCCTCATTTTTCCTCCCTCATTCTCCCTCTTGCTATTCACACAAATGCTAAATAGATGAATAACTGCACAGTAAATAGTTTCTACCTAATTACTAAAAACATTTATGCACATAGTGGAGTACTCAGACAAACACACGGACAACAAAACACCGAAACATACAGACATATGGCAAAAAAAGAAGGAGACACAAACAGCGATGACTGACACATCGTTGGCATATGTGGGGGGAGGGGGGCACTAGCACCCGAGGGGAAACATAACACTAGTTCTTGCTAGTTCTTCGGCGTGTGAACCTCCCTGCGTCGTTATCCCCCGCCCACACACGCGCATCTACCCCCCCTGCGAGAACGAGTGAAAACGCAGGCTTTTTCTCCCGTGATACCCAACCCCACGGATGGGAAAATGGGAAATCATACACTGAGAATGACAGAGAGAGAGGAAGAGAAAAGGTGAAAGATTAAAAGAGAGAGAGAGGAGGAGGAGAAGGACAAGGACAAGGACAAGGAAGAGAAAAAGGAGAAGAAAGGGAGGAAGGAAGGGCGAGGGTGGCAATGGATCTCCTCCGCCGCCGCCACAAACTTGACCCACGACCCTCGACCGCAATTGATGTCTCATTCATAAACTGAGGCATCTTGGCTTGCGTGGAAACTGCATCTAAAAGTCTGGGAGGATTCTCTGCCTGCGTCGTCGATATTTTGCTTTGTGTGCGTTTATTTGTTTTGTTTTGTTTTCCTTTGCTTGGGCACTGAATGGTTGGTTGAGCAGTCATTTAGATTCAGAATTGAGGGGCGGTTATTACTTGTCAGATTCGTGCGAATGGAATGGATTAAAGACAGTAACGAGGAAGGGAAGGAGGAAGGAGGAAGTGGGTTGGAGAGGAAGAGATAGAGGAAAGGGAATTAGCGAGGGGAGTGTGAAATTAGGGGAGGGAGAAGAGACGATCGGAAAAAAAGGAAAAACAGAAAACTACTCATGCACAAGTACCCGCACAAGACATCAAGAACCAACATAAATGATGACGATAGAAACTCCCACAGTAAAAGAGAAGAAAAGCAAACAAGCCTCAATTGAATTCTGACTTGCCTCTCCGTCTAGAAAGTCGGGTGTTGTTTCACTGCGCAACAGCAGAGTCATGAAATACGTCTGGGGTGAAAGGGTCGTGTGGAGGTAAAATACTATTTTATTCCTATGACCGTAATGCTAATTAACGAAATCGGTAATCCCTCAATACTGTTATGTAAAGAAATAAGGTTTCTAGTCTTGATTCGAAATTAGGAGAGTTCGTCTATGAGATCGGCCTCGTAAGATGAGTATGGTGACCTAGTTGAAGTCTCTCCATTGAGGAGTTGCTTGCTCGGGGTCCCTGGGTCGAAGAAATGGCCCACCCGTTTCGCCTCTTTGCAGCTTCACTATCGAGAATAAGTCACCAGCTGTATTTTTTTTAGTTTAGTTTTTTTCAGTGTTATGAGTCGGGGTATGTCTTTTTTAACTCGAGGATATTCTCCATCTTCGTTAACCAGGGTTTAGAAGAAAGATAATAACAAACAATTGAATAAACACAAAGCTTCCTGTTGGTCGTGCAATGAACTCCCGGTTGCTTACATGGCAATAACGCTCGCAATTCGCCTCGACTCAGAAAACCTCTTCACCAAATCACATCCCCAGGAACAATCACTTCCATAACACGAAAAACATGTCCAAATGAAAGTACGAATAACATAGTAATAAGGGAGAAAATAACCACAGTCACTTATCAGCAGATTCCAAGTTCACCTCCACATGGACACAGTACTCTTTACCGTCGTTCGGAGAGCTTCAACCTACCTGAGAGACGTTCGACGCTGAAGTAACCGGGCTGGCCAGGTGCAAGCAAGCAGGCTCCTCACCCCAGTCAATGAAATTTCTCTTCTCTCTCTGTCTCTGTCTCTCACACACCCCTTCTGTCTCTCTTCTCCCAGGCCAACCGAGCGACGTTTCCGAGCGGAGGTACTCGCTCGACTGAGCGCTCGGCCGCCGTTCGGGCTGGTTTTGGCTGTCGCGGGAGAGCGGAGGCCCCTGGTTGGGGGAGGGCAGGGGAGGGGCAAGGGGGCGTAGGATGAGGATGACGGGGGGAGGGAGGGGAGGAGGGCATACGGATGGCAAGGGAATGGGGGGGGGGAGGAAGGGGGAGGGCTGGAAGGGAAAGGGTTAGGTAGAGAGACCTAGGGATGGGAAGGAGGGGATGGGCTTAGATAGGAGGGACAAAGGGATGGGAAGGACGTGGAGGGGGGAGAGGGGGATAAGAGGAGAGAGGGGATGGGAAAACAATCGGGGAGGAAGGGATAGAGAGACAGAAGGGGCCAGGGATAGGAGGACGGGTGGGGGGGGGGGGGCGCCTTATTATCGCCACTGACGCTGGAAGGGGATGAGCGTGTAATTCATTGAGGGATTCACCGGCGGGAGCGAGGAGGCTGGGGCTGCTGCTTGCCTTTCCCAAGTCGATCTGTTTATTGCAGATTTTTTTTTTTTGNTTTTTAAGAGATGCAAAAAACCGTTGCAATCTTTGCACAATCTCAGTTTTCGCGATTCACGAGAACCGAGCGGAGACACGATTGGCCTTCCAACGCCATCTATTGAGCGAATGCAGCAACAGCGAGATCACTGAATGGGTCTCGGTCGACTTCGCTTCGGCATTGTCTCAGGCTTGCATTTAATGAAAGGAAAGAATTAATAGACCGAGTAATAATGATCAGTACCAAAAC